GAAGATTAATATCAGGATATCATTGGGAGGAAGTGACAAATATAAGTTTACTGTTTATTTATTTATTTTTGTTTAATTAAATCTAAAACATGTTTTTATCTGTAAAACGTTGACTAAACAATAAACATTAGCCTTCTCTCATCTTCCCCATGATGACTTTTTTTGGACTTATATAATGTGAATATTTCAGGAAAATTGCTTTGTCCTCAGTTCTCTCTATGTTCTCTCTTTCTATCCTTCATGCTATTTTTTTGTGGACTTGGGAGCCATCTCAGGTTATCCATGCACACACCTGTTCCTTATGCACTTCTTTGCAGCCACTACTTGATGTAATGTCAGACCGTCAGTCTTTGCTGGATCATTGCATTGCATCGGTCAGCAAAACTTGGCTCCTAGACCTTTGTTCATCTCATAATTTCTGCTAAAGAGAGGAGAGCTATTTGGTGTTTTTAGGAGAGAATCTGTGTATCAGCGTGGATTTGTGGAAAAGTGCCAAGCTTTTGTTTGTATTTGAATTCACTTTAAATAAATTCACTGAACTTCAGCATGAGTCCTGCCTTTTTTTTCTTCTTCTTTTTTTTTGCAAATAATGAAACACAACCAATTCTCACCTTCATTGCAGGTGGTTTAACACAAAGGTTTAGCTGGAAGAACTTTTAATGAACTTTAAGAACTTTTTAAAACGTATCATATTAATGAGTATCAAAATATATTATTGTCACTTAATTACAGAAACAAAATGTCAAAAATTTAGCAGGTTATTAAGGTTGAATTGGAAATATAACATTTAAAACTTTATCTATAACTATAACTTTAAAAGAATATATATTATCATGGCAATCTCCAGTGCTAAACAGCAACATGCAGCAGAAAACAGTGTTCTGTAGTCTGGGGGCTCCTCTACTGGTGGAGGATGTTACACATGTTGAAGCTCTGAGGGGTTTTTGTTCAGATTCACTGATGTTTTGTATTACTGTGGCATTCTCACACAGTAATACACAGCAGTGTCTTCAGGCTGCATATTCTGTCCATTTAGAGTCACTGTCTTGCTTGAAATGTCTAAGTTGATGGTGAACTTGCTCTTTAGTGAATCTTTGTAGTATGTGTTGTGTCCATAATGTGCATCTCCAATCCACTCCAGTCCTTTCCCTGCAGGCTGTCTGATCCAAGCTGTCCGATAGCTGCTTA